TCAAACATAATTTATTAATGATCAAATGTATACAATTACATCAAAATGAAAATTAACAATAAAATTATCCCTACATATATGTCATTTGAATATAACATATGTACAAAACATAGATATACATAGTTGATGGTAGAATAAACATGCTTCTACACTTGTGATATTAAACAATATTGTAAACGAATTTCAATTGAACAATAATTTTGTAATTATTAAATATCATCATGAAATGAATGATATTTGATGATTGATGGTGAACTTTATCTTAGTAGTGCTTGTAAATATACAACATTTTTTGTTTTTCTATCTGGTGCAAGAACACATAAATTCGATGGTTTTCCAACTCGTGAACACCCACGTACAACTGTCCATGTGAGAAGCATCAATTTATCAAATTTAATCCACATTACTTGCAATGATTGTCTCTGTGCTTTGTTAATGGTCATTGCAAAGGCTTGTCGTACAGAAAACTGTAGACATTTGAATTTAAATGGAGTATCTGTTGGTATCATGGGAATGCGTGGTAGTAGTACATGTTCCCCTTGGTGTTTTCCCATTTAAAATGGCTGCCTCAATTATGTTATTCATTAATTTTTTTACTGATAGCCTAGTCCCATTGCACAGTCATGGTGAATTTATATTTCGTAGAAGGCTGATTGGGGAACCAATTTTCAAAGATAAAATATGCGGTGGCACATTCTTGGTAGATCCAATGAATTTAAAAATTCTAATGGATAATTAACTGATTCATCGTGATTGACAACAGCATCTATGGATTTATATGTTGTTTCTTCATCAGGTATTTTATTTTGAATTGTGTAGTTTATTAAATTCACATCAATGTCTTTGGCTGCTAATATAGCATGCTCACTAACCCATTGATTATTTTTATAATTCTGCGATAAATTTGGAAAAACTTTGGCAATCAATTCATCAGTGGATTTTACAATGTGACAAAAGTTTTCTGGTAATGTAATACAGTGTGTGGATTTGTCCATTTCCATTTTACTATTCCCAATATCTAACAATTGTTTTGCAAATCATTCAAAAGATTCATTTTCTTGTAATTGAACACGCATATTGGTCTTTAAAGATATTTTCTCCACATACTGCCATAACACTGATGATTTGAGACATGCATTCAATTCATCTGCAGGTGTTGAACGTGGTATAACTGGTAGAGTTTGTCGAAAATCACCAGCTAGCAAAATGAGTGCACCACCAAAGAGCTGTTCATTTCCTCTCAAATCCTTTAATGTGCGATTGAGTGCTTTCAATGATTTCCTGTGTGCCATGGTGCATTCATCCCATATTACAAGCTGACATGATCTTAGCACTTTTCCCATCCCAGAATATTTGCTAATATTACATGTTGGAGTTTCAGTTATCTCTGCATATTTAATTGCAATATCAATGCTGAATGTGGTGTTCGACCACCGCCCAAAAGAGTTGCTGCAATACCAGATGATGCAATAGCAAGTGCAATATTATTTCGTGATCTTATAGCTGCCAGAATAATTGAAATAAGAAAAGTTTTGCCAGTGCCTCCAGGTGCATCTAAGAAATATGAACAACAACTCTTGTTAGATATTGCATTTATAATTGTGTCATGTGCTGTTCGTTGTTCTAACACCAATTTCGGCAGATTAATTCGAACAAATGTTTGTAATTCGTTAACATTGAAGTGTGTTTCTCGTTGCATATCACGATCGAAAATGTCATTACCAGATCTATTTGGAGCAATCATTCCCTATGCTATGAGTGATTTGTACGCTATTGTCAAACATACATCTTCAATTAAAATAAATGCTTCATTGTATATATTTGATGTAAACTGAATGTTGGGATTAGCATTTATTCTACGCATGTGATGTAAAATGTCTTCACTCATATAATCTTTATACAAGGGGTGATCAATCAAATGAAAAGGTACGAAACAACGTAAAACGTAACAGTTAAATATTTGCATAATCCGCCATGGGAGAACGTAGCGAGATATCTCAGGATGCGATTGGAGTCTCTGATTGGGATCGGAGCATACACGGGCGTCCGCATGCGCAGGAGAGAGCAGCAGAGGCTTTTATCAAAAGTGGCGGCCAAATGATGCGGCAGTCCGTATGAGGACAGGATATCGTTCGCGTTGCAAAATTCGGCGACTGAGGAGCAGCGAGGTGTTATCCGATTTCTGGCAGCGGAAGTGAGAAAAACTGTCAGCTATTCATCGCTGGATGGAGACAGTTTACAGGGAGAAATGTGTCTCTGACAAGTCTGTCAGAAAATGGAGTGACCGTTTTCCTGCAGGCCGTGAGAGTGTGGTTGATGATGACCCGAGACCAGGCCAGGCAAACACTGTCATCACGACGAGCGATCTCATCAACAAGGTGGAAGACTTAGTGAGAAGTGATCGGCGTGTCACATCCCGAATGTTGGCGGTGAAGTTGGATGTCAGCTATGGACCATGTGGACAATTGTTCACGACAGGTTGTGATATCGGAAGGTGTGTGTGTTGTTTGGGTTCCAGAGCAGCTCACCGACCAGCAAAAGGAACTGCGTATATGGCTAGCACTGCAACATCTGTTTTGGTATCAGGAAGACCCCGCTTTCATGGAGCGGATCGTCATAGGTGATGAGACCTGGTGCCATCATCACTACGAGCCAGAGACAAAGTGGGACAGCATGCAGTGAAAGCATGCGTCGTCACATCCCCCTAAAAAGTTCAAAGCTGTGCTGTCAGCAGGCAAGGTGTTGCTCACCGTCTTTTTCGACGTTCAAGGTCCACTACTTGTGGAATTGCTCGAGCACAGAAAGCCCATTAACTTCAATGTGTACTGTGAGACATTCCAACTCCTACGCAGGTCCATCAAAAACAAAAAAAAAAAAAAACAGGGCTGCTCACGGAGGGTGGGACTCTGCTCCATGATAACCACGTCCACACGTCTCCAGAGTCACACACATGGAACTGGCCAAGTTCAAGTGGGAGACGTTGGACAATCTGCTCTACAGTAAGGACATGTTGCCCTGCGATTTCCATGTGTTTGGTCCACTAAATAAACCCCTGAAAGGGAAGCGCTTCAACTCGGACGACGTTCTCAATGATGCTGTGAAGACCTGGGTCTCGTCATGGCCACAGGAATTCTGGGAACAAGGAATCCTGTGGTTTGTTCATCAGTGGAATCGTTGTGCTTAGGCCTATGGTGTATATTTTGAATAAAGTCTACATTCATACCCACCGTATTGTTTCGTACCTTTTCATTTGATCACCCCTTGTATTTTTCCCAAAGATCCTTTGGATTAGCCGGAAAACATGTAGTTAGTATGATGGAAAATAGTGTACGTATCTGCTGTGGTTGAGCTGTATCAGAAGCATCAGCGAGTGAAATATCCCAATGAGCATCTTAATTTCTGGCAAGCCTCACTAAATGTAGCACACACATGGCCATTGACTGTTTTTAATTCTTGGAAAGATGTTGGTCCACGAACATTGATTAATAATAATCTTAGGTAAAAGTATTCTGCATTATTTGGATGTATAGTGTACAGTGTACCCAGACGTGGAATATAAATTTAGGTGTCCTTGTACTGCTCTAACCTTGTTTATGATGCTGAAATTTTCTTGTTGATGTATTCCATGTAAAATAAGTTGGTACTTCAGAGTACAGTAGTGTCCTTGCAAAGGTATCATTTGTACATTATGTGCAAAATTCAGTTAATGTTGTTGGCAGTTGTGACATTGCTCATGCACGTACATTTTTTTATGTAAGATACACACGCTGTCCATTTTCAAGATGTACTGCTAAACGAAAAAACCGTTGGATATCACTCATGAATGGAAAATGATAAAATACGCCATACAGCCTCACTGCTACTTATGTAGCGTCCCAGTTGATATTGGGTGACTTCATCGTTAGATGCAGTTGTATTTTCCACTCCAAACACTGCCATATCGCTTTCTTTGTTCACATATTTGCAAATATATTTTATAGCTTTCACTGAATTGCAGTACTCAACATTTATGTGTGCATTATACGTTTTTAGCAGTAATGGAGAATATGGAACTACCCAATGATTATCAACATCAATAGTATTCTTGAGTACTTTTAGTTTAATGGATTTTCCACCATCTTTGGTAGATCATCGTCAATAGAGTGGATATCCATCATTGCTTGTAATAGTTTCAGCAAGAAAGTCTCTAGGATACTGCTTTGTGCACTTTCCATCTGACACACATGGTGAATTATTATTTAGCTAGCCACATGGACCATGAATCATATTTTTTTAGACAATATTGTGCAAGTCTTTATCAATTTCAATGTCTGGTATTGCTGCACAGATGATTTCATCAATTCTGTTTGGTGTTATCTTTTCCATCATCAATATTAAAATATGCGCATGTGGTAAACCTCTTTTTTGCCATTCAATGGAATACATCCAACAGTGCATCTCTCCAAATACATGGTGTTTGACAATAAAAACTATTAAAGATTTTAATTTTTGTTTAAATACACGTGCAGAAATATCACGACGATCTCATGGTGATTGTCCAGTTAATCAAAGCTCCTTTATTTCATCCCATGCTGGGTTGCATGTAAATTTGATGAAAAAATCTGGACAACCATATGCACAAACGTACGTCATTGCATCTTGTGCATATTCATGCATGTGTCTTAGGATGCCTGTAAATGTGGATGGTAAAATGATCATTTTCCCTAATTCACTGAGATTGCCATCATTTAGAACTGCATGATGCAAATGGATGTACTCTTCAGAATGCAATTTCACTTGATTTAGTCGTATGTAGAGGAGTCTCTCATTTTCTATTTTTGCATAGATGTCAACAATGTATTGATGAAATAATTGTCTACATTTCTCAATATATGATTATCAGCATTCTCACAAATCATCGTTCGATATGCATAATAATTCATAGCACTGACCTTTTTTGTTAATGTCCACATTAGTTGTAGGATTTCTCATATTAATATTAAAATGATATTCATCCTCTCCTTGCCAAAATAGAATGGGATATTGTAATGCATCATATGAATGATACGTTTCTGATACTTGCTGGACATCACCATTTCTACGATGAAGAATGATATCGCGAGAATTAAATTCACCAACTATGGCAATTGTCACTTCATCGATTGTTGGTGTGTTGAATAGTATTCGATGTTGACCAATAGGTGTTTTATCTGCCTTTATAATCATCAGATGGCATTTGTTCAATGGCGGTTTTAAATAATTTAATTAATTCATTATGTTGTTCAAACAAATTTTGTAATTCAGCGACAATCTCTCGTTTAGTACTCATATTCAGTTGACACCGTCTGTTGATTTGTTCATCAGTATTTCCCATAAAATATATGAAGATATCTGTGATCAGCATTTGGCAAGGGCAGTAGTGATCCAACATGGTGATAAATTTGCCCTTGTACTTTATATGTTGGCATATAATTTGCGCTAACAATTTTCGTTGCTCCGAATGATGTCATTTGGAAGCATGAATTGTACTTGCGTACATTTTTCAAAAGTTTTTTTGATTGACTTGTTTCACCTGATACTAAAGTTAATAATGGTTCAGGTGGTGAACGCAAGTCTGATAACTTTATTTTTCCACCTGCACAACACATACCTGGTGTTTCATTTTTAAATTTTTGAGCACCACAATACATACACTTTTAATCCATTTTCCCAATAATTACACTTGGATGAAGACTGTAATTGTAAGGAGGATTGCAATTGAAACCACATAAATTCAAATCAGTATGTATCATTCGTCTTGTCTGTGTCCTGCAAATTTGATTCCTTTGCTGCCTTGCTTGCCTCTGTTCACTCGTTTCTAACGATCGAGCAAGAGCAGTGTGAACTCGATCTCGTTTTTGCCTAGCTTGTCTCTGCTCACTTGTTTCTGAAGCTTGAGCAAGAGCAATGTGATCTTGATCTCTTTCTTGCCTAATTTTTCTCTGCTCACTTGTTTCTGAAGCTCGTTCTTCTCTTTTCCTTTTTGCTTGATTTGTAGATCGACCAATAGCACTTCGCTTTGGTGGCATAATTGTGGGGTTAAACAAAACGTATTTCCAATTATTTTCTTCAGCTGGAAATCAATAATATTTTTATTTATTCACGTATTAATAACTGCAAAAGTTTTTTTACTGCATTTTTGTATTTATTAGAATTTGCTGGCAAAAATTTGATTGTCAAATGCATTAATGTTGTTTTTTTGTAATTTAAATTAATTTGTTGAAATCTCAAAGGAAACACAATTTATATATTTAAAACTTTTTAAATTTTAATATAATTTGTAATATTCAAAGAATAATTGAAAAAATATAAATAGAACGATTTGATATTTTACTTACCTTGTGATTTATATTTTTATTTTTATTACAACTGTTATTATGGGTATGTTATTTTTTACAGTTTAATTTGTTTTATAAAAGTAAATTCTATGAGCAAATTATTAAATTTTTAATGGGTAAAAATTTAATTTTTCAATTTATTCATGGTTACACATTTAACAAATATTACTAATTAAATGTTATTTTGATATCTTTGGGATATTTGTCCGAGAGCACCTAGAACCCCAACTCTGATTTTAAAAAAAATTTTCAAAAACCTTCCTAGGGATATACCTAATAATTTCCCAAATTTTCACGGTGATTGGATGTATGGTTTTGAATCTATCGAGTACAGACAGACAGGCACACATTCATTTTTATATATATATAGACTTTTCCTGCAACAACAAATTGGTATTAAATATTGTTACAAGTTTACAACAATAGACTAATATTAAGTATTGTTAGACTAATTACATATATAAACTATTATTATGTATGCAGTTCGATTTTGTCAGTTGCCTAAAATTTAAAATTAAATTTTTAAATTTGAAACTATCAAAACATGAATATTTTCATGATAACGACCAACGACTGAAAATAAAGATGAGGTAAATACTTTTAAGCCGGGTAAGGGAGTAGGTACATATATGTAAGATAACACAAAATATGATAGCTGTTTTAAAAAATAACTGGCGACCTCAAAATTAACATTCTAAATTTGGTGATCAACCCCTGGGTTCCTCTTTTCTCCCAGGTTTCAGATTTTTCTATAATATGTAACATTTTAATGCATATACCTCTTGTCCAATCAAAATAATTGTAACCAAAACTCTGAACTAAAACTTTTCCTACTCCCAACCTTCTTCTCCTGAAGTACTATGACACTCTTCCTCTTTTTCGCATAAGCTCTCCTGCTGGCAAGACGCTTTTCATCCATGCTGCTGCCACTTACTTGCTTAAGATGATGTCGTAATTCAAAATAGAATTTACTGTATTCAAATATAATTAAGAAATAGTCTGAAAAAGGATGATTTGATATGCATTAAAAAATAAAGATTTGTGATTCTTCAAAATCTGTTGTGCTAAATGCGTCCTCATGCTTTTCCACTCAGCCACCTTCAAGCCACTTCAGTCTTCTCAGTCATCCATGCAATATCGAAAGCTGTTAAAGTCCCAGTGTCTTCATTTACACATTTTAAAATCATTACTATATATATTGTTGCATGCATATGGGTTCATAATAGATTGAATGCACACAACTCTGGCATTAGATTCATGAAATTTATTTTATCAAAAGAAACAGTTCACAGTTCTGGAACTTTTCACAAAAAACAGTCGTATAACTCTTCACAATATCATATGGTACAATCAGTAATTATACTTCAAACTACTAAGAACATTAAACATAATGCAATGCAAAATGCATTTAAAAGGCAAAGCTTTCAATCCTCGAAAATTGCTAGGAACTAACAACTCACAACAACAATAATTCAGGGCAGATGATGCTCTCTCCAGCCTTATACAGTTTTCATTCAGCCACTGAGATATTTCTAATGCTTTATGCTTCTTGAAATTAATGGAAGGTATGTAAGGGCAAAATTACCGTTACAGCTACATAGAACATGAATTACAATACCTATTACAGTGATATAGGGGCAGGACCAAAATGTCAACAAATGGTTGCCAAGTTTGATGAATTCTTGAAAAATTTGGTGGCAAAAATTAGTCACCAAAACTGCTGCCAACTTGGCAAAATCTCACCAATTTAGTAAGGCAGCCATTTACACAAAGTTACATAGACTTGCCCCTGTATTCTTACTTTTCAGGCAAGCTTCACTCCTTTAGATTTTCATATTCATTATACAAAAGAAATACAACAATTTCACATATAATTTCACTAAAATTATCTATTGATGTACAAAATTTGTATCGATATATATACATAAGTATTATATACACATTTAGTACCGCTGATTGCAATAAAAAAGGAGGCACACAAATAGAAGTTATAGCAGTCCCATATACAAAATTTTGAAACGCCACAGCTAATTGTTTTTGAGCTATGCGAGATACATACATACATACCTATGTGAGATACATACCTACATACACATATACATATGCTCATACATCATGAAAAAATTCCTTCTGAATCCATGTTACAGTACATTTTTGGGAAAAAAAAAAAAAAAAAAAAATCCTTTATTCTGTCTGTTCATACAAATGTTATGGGGGGGGGGAATCACCCACACTGATTTGGGAATGGTCAAAATGGATATTCATTGAAATATGACAACTGAATATTTTTTCCCAATTACATTCCTTTACTTTATACAAGAAAGTAAAACATTTCTCTAAGATGGGACCTGATATATTGTGAGAAATGGCATACTACTGGGAGAGCAGATGGAGGACAGACACTGAAAAGTTTGTTAACACCTAAAAACAGCCAAAAGCGCCATGTTAAGAATCTTAAATGTTTTAAAAACACATGATGCAAGTCAAAAAATGCCTTAACAAACTCTCAGGAGCAGTATTTGTCCTTAAAAGAAATGAACAACAATTTGGGCTGATGCCAGCCCAGATTACAAAGGAGTTTGCTGCAGCTACAGGAACTTGACTATCCATGAGATCATAATCTAACATAAATACCATGAGTAACAGGCTGCATAAAAGAAAAGTGCATGCAAGGAAATCCTTGATTTGCATCCTAGTAACTCAGGCTCCAATATGTGCCCCGTTGCAGTGATCACCATGATTGGAATATCACGGACTGGAGCTATGGTCTATTTAACAAAGAGTTTGGTTTTTACAATCTGAAGGGAGCAAAACACATTAAGGCTGAAAATATCTGTGAAAGTCATCAGTACAATGGTGGTGAAATCATGGTATGGGTGGGCATCATTTTGAATGGCTGCACTGATTCATGCATTTTTTAATTAAAATTTTTTAAAGAAAGTTTAAACATTTTAAAAATTAACTTAATTAACTGTTAATTTAAAGAATTTAAAGTTTTTCAAAATGTTAATTTTTTAAATGCATTCCATTTTATATTGATTTATTTTCATGTCATTATTTAAAATTTAAAGGATTCTCTGATTAGTTTTAGAATTCATCCAAAATAATTCAGAGTGATTTTGTTGATAATTCATTGAGATACAAGGGATTCTGATAAACGCCAAAGAATTATCAACTATTATTTAATATCATGCAAATTTTGTTTCATTATTCTATTAATTTAGTTTTATTTCCATTTTGTTTTCTCAATTTTTGTTTCAATTGCTTAAATTTGTGCTTTCCTGCTAAAAAATTCAGCAATTTAGGTTGATAATAGTTCTATACTATTTATTACTTTTTAATTAATACATTTACAGCCATCAAAGAAAATACTCATAGTTGGGAAAGAGGGTTTACTTATGAGCTATGAGACAACTCATTTACCAAATAATCTCGGATAGAGATATAGTATTCACCTTCAGCGAATTTGCCGATTACTGTTCTGTAATTGAAATAATTTGCATTAAATTGCATTTCATTGCGTTTTTCATATGTATGTCTAAATTTGAATTTGATTGTAAAACTTTTATGGCATTATTGAAACTTGTTTCAATGGGGGCCAGAATGTTTGGTTTAAATATAGCACCTTCTTGTGAGAGGAGCCAAATTTAGTTGAGTTGGTTGTTGAAGAACGTACGCAGCACACCTATGGTGCGTTCGCTTGTTCCACTTTGTCTGTGCTAATGGAGCACCTAACTTGTAACTTTGTACATTATGTAAATAATTAAATATTTGTGTGGCCTACTTAGTTAGTTTTATTTTGGAACCAGCGCCATTATCTTTTGTAACTCATCACATTTTATACCAAACAAATTACCAGCCTGCCTAGAATCAATGGCCAAGTTGAATGAATCAATCAGAATATTACATAAATTCTTTTAAAGTTATCTTAAGAAAATCCATCTCAATGGCACAAAAATACAAATGAACTGCAGCATGCTATTAACTTGACATATCAGCAAAGTATAGATACTACACCCTCTGAATTGCTCTTTGGTACAAAGATGAATGCTAAAGGTACTGACAAATTAATTGAAATGACTAAAGCTGAATTTCAAGCGAATGTTAAAGCTAAAAGGGATGAACTTAGAAAGCATGTGAAGTAAAAACTATTAAAAATTCAAGAAGAAAAAAAAAAAAAACATATAATTTAAGAAGAAGAGAAGATCAACCAAGACTTTACAACATCAAAGAATTGGTAGCTATAAAAAGAATGCAATTTGGGTGGCATTTGAAATTAAAATCAAAGTATCTTGAACCAAACAGATTAACTAAAGTTAAAGGAGAAAACACACATGTAGCCAGCTGAATTTCTAAAACCATGGAATAATTGCTAAATGAATACAGAGAAAAGAAGATTAAAATAAACTGTAAAACAAAAAGAAATGAATTGTATATTTTTTGTATAAAGGCAAAAACTAACAAAAAAAATTACCCGTACCATGAAAAGGAAAGACTAATGATGAAAAGAAACACATCTAAAGAAGAAGGAAAAGATGCCTAAAAGATGAAGAACATGTGGGTAAAGACATTAACTACTGTTTCTATAGCAAATGAAGCTTTAAGATAATTTTGCTCTTTTGTCATTCTTGGAGCTGAAAGACTATCAAGGACTCTAAAAATGTTTAACCTTCATTTCCAGACATGCTATTATCTTTTCTGTTTTGTTTTTATATTTTTATTTTGGTATTTGCAGCGTTGCCTGGAGGACCAGTTGAAAACAAGAAGGCCAAAAGAATGTGGTCCAACTGATGATGAAAGATGGTGCTCAAGTTGAAACTGTTGATTCTCTTTGATGTTTTCATTTTGGCAGTTGGCTGTGAGATGAAGTGAACAGAGGATGGTGATGGATTTAAAGACGGATGAAATATGTTTCTTCAGAGGAAGCGAACTGAGTTGTGAAAATGCATATAAATTTAATGTAATTAAATGTGTTGTCCAATAAAATAATAATAATAAAACACCTCTACAGATGTTCCTACCACCCTGCTTGAAAAAGGTAACTAAAAGTAAAATTAACCAATCATGGCTTAGATTCACATATGCACCTATACAATACAAATTCAGCTTCGTGAGAAACTACACTCATTTCTTCCTGACTTCTACTATGCAAACAACTTTGCACCGCTTCTGCTTTCCTGCCTGAAATGACGTTGCATCTTTTTACCTGTGCATATAAAAATTATTGTATTCAACGATGACTAAAAAGTCATTTGTGTACCAAAAAGATGATTTGAGATGTGTAAAAATAAAGACGGTGATTCTACAATTCAGTTTTGTTAACATCTTCTTCATGCCTTCACCTAAGCCTTAAAATATCACATATACAGGGTGTCCCAAAACAACCGCATAAACTCTGCATGATCCATAGTTTACGAGAAAAATACGAAAAACAAAGTATGACATCACTGCCGGTGCCAGAAAAAACACTTTATTAAACATATCAACAGCAGTATATGCACAATTTAAAGCAGATGTTCAAAGCGTCCGCCGTGCATGTTGAGGCAGGCTTGAGCACGCTGTGGAATGGCTTATCATCACACGTTGCAGCATCGTGGGGTCCACCAAAGTACAAGTAGCATGCAGACGAGCGACTAAGTACATTGGTGTTGTCACTACACTTGATACACCAGTTTCCTTGAGATGACCCCATAGAGGAAAAAATCCAACGGTTGTAAGATCTGGTGAATGTGGCGGCCATGGAAACCAGACACCCCCCACGTCTGATCTAGCACCCGGGTATTCCATATCCAGCCAACCATGTACAGGAGCACAAAAATGCACCAGAGCCCCAATGCTGGAACCAAAGTCTCCAGTATTGCCACTAATGGTATGTCATCGAGGAACTCGGTTAAGACCTCATTGAGAAACACCAAGTACGATTGTCCCGAGAGCCGTTCAGGCAACAGATATGGTCCAAGCAGGCGATCCCCGAGTATGCCAGGCCCACACGTTAAGGAGACCAACATTTTTTATGTTTCTATGGCCGGATTGCATGCGGATTGACCTGGGACCACATATGGCTGTTGTGAATGGTTGAATACCCCATCACGAGTGAAACATGATTCATCGGTCCACAGGATATGTGCAATGAAACCATTATCTGTGTTCTTTTGCTTGCTGAAACAGCCATTCACAGAAGAATGCTACGCGTTTCTGAAAGTCATCTGGTTTCAGACCTTGCACGGATTGTGTACTGAAATGGGTGTAGCCTCTCAGACCATACAAGCCTATGCACAGTACTTTTACTCGAAGTCATCTCACGGGCTAATGCACGTGTGCTTACCTCGAGCGTCTCTTCTACCCGCTGCAGTATTGCACTCGCCTGTGCTACCGTCAGGCCGCTCTGCAGTCCTCCAGTATCGTGAAGATTTGCTGGTGGCAAGACACTTTCCGTATTTCATAGTCTCTGTCGTTAAGCCTATGGATGATGTTGACATTGGGAGGACGGCGGGACGGATATCGACAGGCATACTCCCTAGCAGTTCGTAAGGCGTTTCCATTACATCGGTCGTGTACATGTCGCAGCAGTGATGAAGGAATACATGGCTACCATATGAAGACTACCGGTAGCTGCAAGATGCAGCCTTTTAAATACCAGTTCAACGGTGGCTTAACGTAATTCCACAGCATGTGCGCATGCATGACGCGATTTGTGCGGCGAATGTTTTAAACATTAACATCTGGAAAGATATGCCAAAACTGTTGTTGATATGTCCAATAAAGCATTTTTTCTTGCACTGGCCTTTTACAACATACTTTGTTTTTCGTATTTTTCTTGTAAACTATGGATTGTACAGGAACGCTTCTTTGGGCAGTTTTTATGTACTCCCAAGGAGGAATCTATCTGTGCAGAGTTTATGCAGTCATTTTGGGACACCCTGTATATGTAAGATATAACAAAATATGATAGTTGCATTAAAAATAATTGGCGATTTTGAAATTAACGATTTTAGATTTCATGCTCTCCCCCTAAATTCATCTGTTCTCCCAAATTCGAGACCTTTTCATGTTACGTAATGCTTAATGCAGATACCTTTTGCCCAATCAAAATAATTGTAAACCAAAACTTTTTTTTAACTCAGAACTGAAACCTTTGGCTCCCTCCTTTCTTCCTTTGAATTGCGGTGTCCACTTTCGCTTAAGCTTTCCTTCTGGCAAGACGTTTTGTTGCTAGGCTTACTCATGTAAAATACCGTCATACTGTAAAACCCATGTACATGGAAATTACTGCATTCAACTATGATTAAAAAATATCTTGGAGACCAGAAATTTGTGAATTATCTTGCAATACAATTCTGTTTCAAAATGGCCCTATCTGAAGGTTTTTGGTTTGTGAATTCATCCCTCTGGCTACACAATAAAGAATCTTTGGAGACCAAAAATCAAAGTACCAGATTCCTTCATCTATGCTTTAAAACATTACGTATATCATAAATGTGTTTTTGCCTAAGTGTATCGGATACTCTCAGGCTTAACATAGTTTAAACTAATTTCAAGGTTCAGAGATATGAGGTTCACTATGAAATTACAGTCATTTGAAATTATTAAATATTCTGCACAAATGATAATTTAGAATAAGCAGCATAGAAAACATAGATATAGTTACCTCTTCTCCTTCACATCCACTTATCAGACGATGTCTTTCTGTGAATGGATGACCCAAAGCAACCCATTCTTTTTGAATAAGCAGTTCAAACCCAGTAATAGTATGATACAAGGGATCCAAAATAATTTGAACAAGACTTGACAGGATTGCACTTAAATCTCTTCCTTCATGTTCTAAACAATATAAATTATAATTTTAGAAACTTAAGGATATTTATGAGTTACATCAGGATTGTAACTCTATAAATTAACATTTCTATAAATAGAATAACTAAAGTTTTCTATTTTACACAGAAAAATTTATATACAACTCCTGCCACTTTTTGAAAATAGGACACCCACAGAATGAATTGAAGAGACAATCAACATTTAATTCATACCTGAAAACTTTTCAGCTTTCCCAAATAATTTATACCACATAAATACTGTATAAATATTAAATTAACTAATATATCATAAAATTAGAAATGATATCAATTCATAGCCAACCCAGAATATAAATAATCCATGTACAGTACAATTTCATCATAGAATGTGTCCCAATAATTTCAAAAGCTGAGGCGAGACAAAGATTTATGATATGTGGGCATATTTTACCTAAAGTTTTTGGTCTATTTATCTTTAAATACAGGGTATGCCTATTTGCTTTTTGTACCACTATTTTGTTAAAAAAAGGATCTGAAAAGTGATTTAAGAGCCTCTTTGTAATTGCAATTTATGCAAGATCATAAATGCACCTCTAGGTTGAAGTTGTAATTTTTATTGTGTATATGCATGAGTATCAGAGCTCCAGCAAGTTTCACTGTAATTCAGTAAATTTGTACTAATTGTTAAAAATAAATTGCACTATTTATTTAAGCAATTTATTGCCATTTGGTGGCTGTTTTTATTGCTTATTTATGTAGCAAACCAGTTAAAAAAATTTTTGGATCCCACCACAGTCCTGTTTTAGCACATCAAAATAGGTATTCAAGATATATATATATATACTCATGTGCAAAATTAAGAGAATTTTGTACTTTATACCAAATTTTTGAAAAACTAATGAACAGATTTTAGTAGAATTCAGTATCAATATACATTTATAACAGAAGAGATGTACAAGTCAATTATCTTATGTGCACATTATTATAAGTAAAGCTCATACAACAGGGATGTCCAAAACCCCTGTTGCGATATCAAACTGAAAAGAAGTCTAACATGGAATATGGTTCCCTCTCACAGGCAGGCAGGTTGTGTAGCATGACAACATACTGAACTGGAGGCAGTTGAGGAGTCTCTGTGGCAGTCAATCCCACTCCAGTAGCAAGGCAATTTTCAATGTCAGGTTAGTTCTCAGAGGGGGATGGCAAGATGAAATTGCTTTCAGAAGAGTGTCTCAGACATGCACTATATGGTTAAGGTCAGGAAATCTGGCTAGCCAATCCATGCAAAAATACCCTTCTTTTTCCAGTCGTTGTCGACCAGCTGAGCCCTATGTCGTTCATGAACAGGAATCCAGGACCAACTGTGCCCCTAAAAAGTTGAACACAGGGCTCTAAGATCTCCTCTCTATATCTTACAGAAGTCAGGAAGCTTTTGTCAAACACATGCAGAAGTGTGTGGCCATCCAACATAATGCTTGCCCAAACCATTACACATCCACAACTGTAATGAACTTTTTCCCTGCTGATGGAGTGAAGGCATCATGTTCCAAGCTCTCTCCAGATATAGGTACCCCAAGAATCAGTGTCCAGGCTGAATCTTGACTCATCTGTAAAAAGCACAGTGCTCCATTGAAGTCTGATCAAGATGCATATCGTCTGCACTATATTAAACATGCACTCTTGTGTACTGCAGTGAGCAGGATGCAAACAGCAGATCTTTTTGGCATATAGCCTTATGAAGCCTTTGGGCAAGTATTGACCCCATGAAATTTGGGTTCCAGTGGCAGCACACAGCTCACATGAGAGCTGTGAAGCTGCAGCAGTTGTGATGCCATGCACAAAACGCCAAATAACAATCCTCATTCATTTTTGTGGATCTTTGTTGAGCGTGTCTAGGTCTTCTTGATATGCAGATCCAGTGTCCTGAAACTGTTTCCACAAATAGCAGATGACACTTGGTGTTACATTGAGCTAAGTAGTCACTTGCCTTTCTGAATAGTCTGCCTCCAATCTACTGACCATTCTCCATCTCATTCTGTCTTCCATAAATTTGTGACTACAATGTTACCTGATACCTTATAAAATTTACCCAACTCTGCAAGAAACACGGTAAACGTTGAGAAAGAGTACGAGCACACAAACTGCTGAAAAACACTTGTGCGCTTATATCTTCTCTTTCACAAACAGGCACATGTATGCTTACATGTTTGACACAATATTTGCATAATTCTTTGGTGGCATAATTAGTATGTTTGGTTCAAAATGTTTTGCAAAAATAGACATAATTGCCAAATTTTCTTAATTTTGCACACGAGCGTATATTAGAAGCAAAATTGAATTGGAAAATTTATGATAAAAAGGTGCAAATTTTGAATAAGTAACAAGATTTATTATAAGGAATTTTTTTCTTATTAACTGAGTTATACTAAGGCATAAAATGGCAATCTGCAACAGAAGGAACACTTTTAAGGAAGACTTAAGCCCGGCCTGGCGTCACATCACACTTGAATAAAGCCTCAAATAGACAGCATGTTCACCAGGAATTGAACCTAGTGCAAACTATAAGTGCTCGTTTGTCATTGACCAGCCCTGAAAGACACAATTATATATGAGATCCATCCTTTTTTAGAACCAATTGAAGGTATACAATAAGTACAAAAGCAATAAGTACAAAAATGGGGAGCCGAAAGTAACTCCATTTTATTGAATAAAAATTTTAGTTAAACTGGCTAAAAAAGAAGCAAAATTGTGAAAAGGCTTTAAGGTAAAAAATAATACAATGTTCTTTACAATAACCTGATTTTTTTTGGCATAATTATTTTGAAGAAATCAATGACGATGGTATTTTCAAACATTAGCTAAACATTTAGAGAATTTAATCATATCAAATGATGACAAGATGAATTACTTTCTAGAATATTTGTAGCCTTGCCAAATATTTCATGAATCTGCTTTGTTAAATCTTAATAAGACAAATGGAATGAAGCAAGTAAATGACCCATTCGCAAATCTTAAAAAAAAAAAAAAAAAAAACTATAAATTACTTTGAAAAGATTTTTTACTGCATTTTAAGTTATAATGTTACAATATTTCATACACTAAACCAAGAGCTGTCTTTGTGTCAATATGCACTAAATACATTTTTTTTAATTGTGGCTTAATGGAATTTGATCATATAATGGAATAACAGCAAAAATATATATGGATAATTCCTCGTCATATATTATGATATAAAGATGCATTTAAAAAGCTTTGGAAAATAATACTTAAAAACAAAGAATAATTACTGTTAACCCCTTCGTGCCGACTGTCACGTCTACGTGCCAGCAACGAACACACTCACCTCCCAGCCGACACGCAGGCGTGCCAGAGCATTTTCCCATTTACTACCGACTGTCACGTATTTGTGCCAGTATCCTGGAACGTTTTAGAAACTATAATTTCCTGCCACAAGATGGCACTGTATGTCCATATGGTTTCAGATACATGTACATTAGACCTTCTACTCGAAATGAGAGAAGCATGACTCACATACACGTATTTTTGATTATATAAACAAACGAGGACTAAATGTTTCCGAATGGCGTGATTTATGACGTCTCTTTAAATCGCATTTTATTCGCGCCTGGTAGTTGTTTATTGTAAGTAGAAGATTTATTATGCACTAAAGCGTTGAGTATTTCGGTTTACAGTTCAGTTTTTAGAAAAATTAGATCTTGTTAGACGTGAATTCTTCCTGTTTTTATTGTTGCAATGTTGAAGCGTCAAAAATGTTTAACAGAGCATGAAATAACAGAAATGATGCAAAATATTTCAGATATTGATTCTAAAAAATTAACTGAAAGATGTTTTCCAAAACTTTGTTCAGAAGAGACTGATAAGAAAATGAGACGACGATGCTTCGTTTGTTCACATTCCCGGAAAAATCCTCCAAAACGGCAAATGTGTTATTACGAGTGCAAGGAATGTAACATAGGACTGTGTAGATCCCTGTTTTCAAATTTTTCATACGAAAAGAGAATTTTAAGTAATATATTTAGTTTTCAGATGTATAATGTTAAAAGTCATAAAATGGTGAGTAATTAAAATAAAATGTGTAAAATACGCATTTAAACAAGAAATAAGGTAATTAAAGTATATATATATATATATATCTATAAATATCTATAAAGCATAAGCCATTTAAATACTCTATAGAGCATTATTAAACAATGCGTTTATGCTTCAGAAATTTCATGGATTTATAGGCTTAGTAGCAAAAAAGCCCCCGGCCCTGGAGAGATGCTCGCGTAAGACACTGCCGGCATCCGCGACAAGTGCGCGTTTTTGCTACCTGGCTCGAAGGGGTTAAATAAAACTAAATATGATCTAAGAACTACTAAGGTTTTGATTAAATAATAGACTCCTGAATAAAGGCTTGAAATGCTTTGAACTTTTTATCAAGGCTTTTCAATAAAATTTGTCTTTTTATTTAGAATCATTGTGAATTAAAGTATTTAAACAGAGAGAATAAGGAAAAATACATAAATAAATAAATACTACAGATGAATTGCAACACTAAGAAAGCTAAAAAAAATCAAATTAACATGTGGTCTGATAATTAAAGCAGCCAATTACCACACTATATTATAAAAGATTATCAAAATTATACTAAATAACTGAAATAACATTTCTGTTCTGAAATTAAAATATGCAATTAATTAAAAATTAAAAATCTATTTTTATAGCAATCTATCTAATTTTTATAGCAAGTTTTTTAAGTTTATAAATTACCCGCAAATGTATTTTGTATTGCTGGTGATTAAATATACATAACATTTATATAACTTCACACCTGAGAAAATGACAGTTGTATTTTCAAGAATGCACTTTGTAGCTTCTAAAGTAATATTCAGGCATGAAGAAATGTGATGAAGCCATTTTGTTGAGTCCAGTTTACTGAGGTAATTACTGTCTGTTTCCCAGAATTCATTAGGTGTACCTAGAAATAGTAAAAAAGGCATTCATTTAGAATTAACATCATTAACAGTTAACTTGTGGCTGTTTTCTCTCTTTTCCGGATCAGAGGTGTCCCTGCTCATTTGAAAGTGCATTACACAAGTCTATTTACTTTACTTTTTAGTTTTCCCTACAGAATCATTAAAAAAAATGTTCATATCTCAATACAGTTAATCTTGGATGCCACAAAATTTAAAAATGATTGGACAGGAGAATTTAATTTTAAAACCTTTTTATTAAAAAAAAAAAAAAAAAAAAAAAAAAAAACTAAAAAAAAAAAACAACTCTGTTAATGCACAAATGGCTGAAAAATTTTAATGCACTTGTTAATTATTTATTTATAAACTAGAAATCAAAAGGTTGGCTAATATTAAATTATATGAGGTCTCTCTCACTTCAATTAACTAAAAATAACTTTTAAATCAAATTAAACAGCAAATAATAACATTCAAATGAAAATAATATATACAAAATAAAAATGAACATTGATGATGATAAATATTACAAGTACTAGGATTTAAAAAAAATCAGTACTTACAAACTTTCACATCAATCATTTTCAGCAAATAGAAACTGTTGCCAAACACTGTGATCTACAGCCAGTAATGGACCAGTAAGTATGACATCCCAAAACACTCATAAGATCTTCATCTCAGTTTTATGCAACCTCAATTAAATTTCAATAAGTAAGTACAATTAAAAAAGAGTATGTTAATTGATGCTTCTTTGTCTTTCCATTGCATTTTGAACCTTTCATAGAATAGCATGCAACATTGTTTTTCAAAGGTATGGGCTGTTCAAGCTGTTTGTTCCAAATTTCTACTAGAATAAGTCGTATCAGTTTGGTGGGACATTTGCCAACCTTCATGGTTGATGAAGAAACACCAAAAAATCAAACTGCATTAAAACAAACAGTAATTCCCTGAATTGTATATTGAAAAATCTACCTATATTTAACATATATAACTAACTTACAAAGAAATTTTCAATCCATGCTTTAACCCCCCCCCAAATAAATTACATCAGAAAACTTACTTAATGCACAAAGGTCTTTTAGTTTTAAGAAACTACTCTGTACATCTCTATAACTAGGGCAAGTCTCATCCAAATTGAAAATACGAACAGGCAGCTGACGAGGGCTTGCTCTGCTAATGGCATCAATCATTCTACAAAAAATAAATGTTTATTTTCAGTCTCAGAAAACAGAATAATAAATATACATTATTATATACAGGGAATCAATAATCTCTGAAGTGGATGGCAAGTAATTGTCCATTAAATGGCAGTTTACACATATGTTTTGTTTATGCTATATTCTGACTGGCTAAAAAAGTGTGTACTTGTTTCCAGTATTTTATGCAATTATTGCTAAAAATTATTTAAAATTTAATTTCTCATAAATTAGATAGAAAACTTACACATCTTTCTGTCGACTATCTGATATACTTGGATCTAAAGCAGCCATTCGAACCACTGAGGCACCGGACGGTAATCCCCAACTCCAAGTCTGTTAAAAACATTAAAAATGAATTTGTATATATAAAATAGAAAAGAAAAAATATCTCAAAACAAGTTCTCAGATTGGATTTTATCTTTTTATATATTTACACTACGGTACAAAGTCTGTAATCCGTATTCATCAGGACTTCGTCGATTCCGGATTATAGATCATCAATTTAAAATCTGGTAAGATGGCATGTAGAAATTATACAATTAAAAATATGAAACCGTAATTTACAAAATAAAGAGCAATTATGATCTAAAGGGTATCAAAATTTACAATAAAAAGCTTAATATTTATTTGTTTACTTTATTAAACATTTCTTTTCATGTAAGTTGTTTAAGTTGCTTCGTTTTTTGTGCTAATACTTTCTTTTTAATTCTATAAACAGACACAATTTTTTGTTCAGTTACAAAGTTCCACTGTTCAAGTCCTGAAATTGCTGTGTCAAGAATATCAACTAACTTGTCAATTACAGATTTCACTGTCCGTTAATTGATTGATGATTGGGGCATTATCGTCGCAATGAAAAACTTCTGTTATATCATCCTCATTTATTACCGCTTCTCCACATTTCTTTACAAAATCCAATAACTGGAAAATTTCACCTTTAGTTTGCAATGTCCGAAAACTTCAAATTCGCAGCTATCATCTTCATTGTCTTCACCATGAAATATGGTAGCTGGCCATAAAAATGTTAAGCATTTTTTTAATGTATCTGGAGAAACATCCTCCCAACGTGCATGCGTACATGCATAAAGCATACACACACACACACACACAAAAAAAAAAAAAAAAAAAAAAAAGTTTGTGGCTTGAGGTCGGATTATAGATCATTCCGGATAATGGACATCCAGACTTTACAGACTTTGTACTGTATAACACATTTTATTTGCCCCCTCCTTGTTTCTAAATGAACATTATAATTTTTTTATTGATTCAGTCTTAAAAAAGTAATATTCCCCCAAAATTTTCTTTTAAGAGCTATTTCAAAATTTACTTAATAAGAAACTGTATAAATTTTAGTGGATATACTGATTATGAAGACACAAAAATCTAACATTTTGAAACAGAAACATGTATAGTGATAACAACTAATATGAATCAGGTAACACAAGTATAAATCTCACAAAACATTTTCGTGGAAAAGAATGGAATAACATTTTTCTTCAATAAATGGAAATTTTAAGTAATAGAGCACAAAAACAGAGTTACAAATATCCACAGTTTCTCCGAGATTCAAACACAAGCCCAATACTGAAAAAATGTTTTCATAACTTCTGTACTTCCTATAACAGCTTAAAAAGTCTTTAAAATTTATGGCTAAATCACCACTTTCATATACTAGACTCAAAATGCAGCCTAGCAGCTGGTTTGTTTACTCAGCTGTGGCTCGCAGAAAATATCTCAAATGCTACATGCGGCCCAATTGCATGCAGCAATTGATTGTCACTGATTTAGGTAATTTATCTAAACAAATATGTAATATCCAAGCTCAGTTAGAAAATTGTTTGAGACATTTACAGTCTATCTGCAAGGGCACATCTGAAGTTGAATTTTCTGCTCTCAGAGACCTGGAAACTGAATAACTGAAATAAAAAAAGAACTCATGGAACTACAAATAATAAAGTGCACTGGCAAACATATTGTCTCATTATTTCTTATCATTTATTAAAATTTGATGATTTGCTATTTATAAATCAAATCAGCACACTACTTAAATAAAATTAGCAACTATGAGAAATGAGAAAAAGAAATGTTAGTTAATTAGTACAATCAGAAATAAATGCTTCATTCATAATCAGAATTTAATTTAAAAAAGTGCATTTCTATTTCAGAAATATTCAAATCAACCATTTCCTGTCCCCTACCCTCAAACTGCTATTTCACAAACAGAATTCCCAAAATACTTCATTATCTTCATAATTTAGAATTTCTTTGCATGCATACTACACATTCGAAATCCATATTTTATTACTTTTCCCCCCTAATTTTGTTTTAAATTTTCTACTGGTTACTTATTTTACCATTTTTAAATGACTGAATGAACAATTGGCTTAACATGCATTTTTTAAACAACATTAAATATGCACAAATAAGATATATTTTGCAATTTATATATCAAAACAAAGATGTACTTACAGGAACTCTGTGACCAGCAAAGTGAGGAGCAGTTTTACTTAAATTCATATCAAGCAAAATTGAAGGCACCACAAATGATTCTGGAAGACTAAATTACAAACATCATAACTATAATCATGTCATATATAGATATATAAAGTAAGAAAGTTTTAATAATAAATTATGAGGGCCATTAAATCATCTAATTATTTCAACACTAAATTGCTTTATTTCTAAATATCCTTAGATATAACGAATATTTAGAAAAATAGCTACATATTTTATTTTCTTAAATATTGAATCCTAGACATATGCTTTCAGTTATAGAATTTTTAAAAATAAGATAAAGAATCTTCACCAATACTGTGCATGACACAGCAAAGAGATATTAAAGTTTTAACACAATATCAAAAATGTCCAAGCAATAAAATATTAGAATGTTTTACTAACTGAAATACAAAAATTCCTTTTCAGGATAAAATCTGACTTAAACAGATGGCAAAAATATTTAATTGATAAATTGATATTTAAAATTGTCCAATGGACAGGTTGGAATATTTTCAAGATTGGACAACTGCTCTCTACATCCAGATGCAATCATTTTTAACATGTGAAAATGTCATGGCCCTTCTTTTGCCCCCAAATACTACATCATTGATCCAATGAACTGACCAAGACATAATACACAGTATTAAATGCCACTTAAAATCAGGAATTTCTGAAAAACATTCTTTCAAGTGACCCTTTTATTCTGATTATATATTTAAAAAAAATCACCATCAGGAACTGCATCTATTTATTAGCAGAATCATGGAATTCTGTTTCCTAAACGCCATTAGTAAATAGGTGGCATAATGTATGGCCATGTTCTCTGTTTATTGAAACTGAGGGCAATGACAGAGAATTTTCTGGTTTTAGGATCAGTGCAGCAAAGATTAAAGCAAAAGAATTGCTTCTGTATCTTAAAAGATGCACAAATGAGAAGGTTTTGCAAGAAGATATCATTGAATGGGTGATGTGTATAGATGAGCAAACACTAGCATATCAGATGACCAATGATGAAATTATTATGTTTTGAACTTAACACAGCAAGAAAACAATTGTGACACTCACACAGTGAATTTGATAGGAGTGAGAAAATATCGTTTAATGAAAGTTTGGAACATGGTAAAAAAATACCTTAAATATCTTAAATTTAAGAACAACAGAGCTGTGCCACAGAGCAAGAGATTATGACTATTCAATTAAAAAAAAAAAAATAAAAAAAAAAAAATAAATAAAAAAACCACTTTCTCTGGAGCACCATAAAGTTTTACAACAAAATTTTATTAGAAAAATGCTTGAAATATGTAAAAATATATATATATATATATATATTAATTCATAATAATTTATAATAAGAAAACTTTCCATATGCCATCTCCAGGAACACAAATTCAATTTACTTGAAGTCAGATGAAACACACTCTTATTTTGTTTTGCTAATTGATGACAGATTGATTTATCCCCTTGATAAGTCGATTAATCCACAATCAATGACAGCAGTTTACTTTTTCATTTTTTAAAATTTAATTTTGGTTTTGATTTTTTTGGGATTAAAGATTTTTCTTAGCAGATTTTTATACAAGTTGAAATTACTATTTAAAATATTTAAATTCTGACCACAAAATTCTTTCATTCATGGTTTTAAATTGAATTTGTGTTCCTTGGAGATGGTATGTGGAAAGTTTTCCAGGGTTCATAGCCACATTTTAGTTCAAAAAATAAGCACCTATAAGCACTTTTCAAGCACACTTTAAGAAAAAAAATAAGCACCTGTCTAATTACATTATACACAACTGCATAACCTTAAAAGAAAAATTAGACTTGCAATTTAAAATATTAGCAATGCAATATTTATTAAGAGAATGAGCATTACCTCAACCATGGAAAACAATTAAACTTTTTTTTAAAATTTTAAATGACAGTTCAATTTACAGAATTAGTTTTCAATGTGAGAAAAAAAAAAAACTATGCAGAACTAAACTATATTACAAGATTTAATGATGAAATTTCAGTTCAAAATATAGAAAATAAATAATAATAAGCCATATTAACTGTATTCGCTTGGCACCTAATAATAAATAGAATTTATTTTTCCACTCATATTAATATTTAAATAATTTAACTTAAATCAAAATTCTGAACATTTTCTAAATTTTCATTGCATAACAGTTTTCCCTTAACATACATTCCAAGCAAAGTAATTTAAGTAAAAAAGAGGAACATTTCTGAAATCAGGAGACGGAAAATTGCTTCAGTCATCCTTTAACAGTAAAAGCTTAACTAACCCGCATACTAGGAAATTGCCGATATTC